TGGGGGAGGGCCAGGGATGCTGCTGGGCATCCCACCGTCCACAGGGCAGCCCCTGACAAAGGTGCCAATGGTGCCAAGGCTGGGAAACCCTGGGTTATAGAAGCAGAGAAGCTTTGCAGGCGAGTTGCTGGTCCCGCTGGATCTGGGGCTGCCGGGAAGCCTGGCACACAGTCACCATGGCAACCCCTGGGAAGGAGGAATAGACAAGAAGATGAGTGACCGCAACAACAGGACAAGGCAGACACGACTGACGTGAGCTGTGCAGAGGACACCTGAGCTGGGAGTCAGGGGCAGCCACGTGGGCTGGCAGCCAGGAGGGCTTCCTGGAGGGGGTGGGCTGGAGCTGGGAGGCATGAGAAACATACAGCTTTCCTAGCTTACAGTTTACATTTTAACTCTGTGATAGTTTTTATTTTTATTTATTTATTTTTTGAGGCAGAGTCTTGCTCTGCTGCCCAGACTGGAGTGCAGTGGCGTAATCTCAGCTCACTGCAACCTTCGCCTCCCAGGTTCAGGTGATTCTCCTGCCTCAGCCTCCTGAGTAGCTGGGATTACAGGCACGCACCTCTATGCCTGGCTAATTTTTGTATTTTTAGTAGAGATGGGGTTTCACCATGTTGGCCAGGCTGATCTTGAACTCCTGACCTCAAGTGATCCACCCGTCTCCGCCTCCCAAAGTGCTGGGATTATAGGTGTGACACACCGCACCGGGCCGGCCTATGATAGTCTTTAAAAGGCAAACTTAAAATGGTTTCAGTTGAATTTATCTATTTTTGCTTTTGTAGTTCTGGATTTTGGGTCATACTTAGAAAGGCTTTCTTCCAGGGAGGTAATGTTTTGAAATTCTTATGTGGTGTCTTCTAGTAGTTTCATGATTTATTTTATTTTATTTTATTTTATTTTAAAATCTTTAATTTTTTTTGGTATAAGGAATGAGGGGTGATTTCAACCTTTTTTTCTTCAAATTTGATTCAGTTATCCCAGCATCATTGATTGAATCACCTCCCTTCCCCCACTGCTCTGACAGCCCCTTTTACCATATATACACACGTAACAGCAGGTACCTGCCACAGAGCAGACACTTACCACAGGTCCTGCACTCAGGTCAAACGGCCTCGATGGTACTGTACTTCAGCTGTCCCGTGCAGCCCTTCTGAACCACCTCTCCCTGTGTTACCTAAGCCCTGGGTCTGGGAATAATGGGTGGGGAGCCACCATGTTCTGGTAACCCCCTGTTCTGGAAGGCCTCTAAGATTTCCAGTATATTTGCTGTTCCCGTGTAAGAGCAGGTGCTTCCCATAGGCTTATATATGGTAATATCATGTTTATAGGGTTAGGATTAGGGTTCTTCCCCCAATATGGAGGATTACAATTCAACATGAGATTTGGGTGGGGACACAGGGCCAAGCCATATCACTCTCAAACATAGCTTTTTAGGGGGACACAATTCAGCCCATGGCAGTGGGTCTCATTGAGTCCCATGGGCAATTCAGCCCTAAGTTCCTGCCCAGCCTCTCCCAGGCACCAGGGGCATCTTGGGATTTGTGGCTATGTGCTTGATGCCACCATTTTCCTTTCTAGCAAACTCTGATTCTTGCAGAATTGTTGGCTCGTTGAATTTGAGGGCCAGGGTTGGTGGGTGGGGGGCGGCGCATACAACTCAGCCCATAACATGCACCGATATGAATCACATCTAAAAAAATCTCAGGTTGGGTTCTAGAATAAGATGCACTTTGGTGGACAGTTATGATGGCTCTTTCTTCTTCTGAGCACAGCAGTGTTTCCCAGGGGCAGTGCCTGGCTTGGTGGCCCCAGGCCTGTCCCCAAGCTCTTCTGCATCCCAGGCTGCAGCCCAGAGACAGGCACTGGCTTAGGTTTGTGGCTCCTTGCTGGCCCAGCTTGAGGCTGGCTCCATACCCTTCTTGTGACTCTCCAGCTTTCCAAAGAACCGGGTCTTGGAGGGCAACATTATGCAACAAAGCAACATTGCCATCTGCTCAGCCTCAGGGATGCCCGTAGAGTTCCCTTTCAGGCTTGTTTTTTTCTTTCCTTTTTCTTTTTTGAGATGGAGTATTGTTCTGTCACCAGGCTGGAGTGCAGTGGCGCGATCTCAGCTCACTGGGTTCAAGTGAGCTGAAATCATCCGCCTCCTGGGTTCAAGCGATTCCCCTGCCTCAGCCTCCCGAGTAGTCGGAATTACAGGTGTGGGACACCATGCCCGGCTAATTTTTTGTATTTTAGTAGAGACAGGGTTTCACCATGTTGGCCAGGATGGTCCTGAACTCCTAACCTCATGATCCCATTCGCCTCTGGCTCCCAAAGTGCTAGGATTGCAGGCCTGAGCCACCGTGCCTGGCCCAGGCTTGTTCTTTTCAGGCAGGAAGTGAGGAAGTAAAAAAGGGAATGTGGGTGGGGTGTGGATTGGGATGGCCTTGGTGACAGGACATCCACTTCCAGATGGTGTCAGCAGGGGTCAGACTTGGCTCACACACACCAGGTAGTGGAAAGATGAGTGAGTCTTTTGTTTCCCTTTTTGGGATTCCCTATGGGTTCACAGAGTTGACAGTTGACACCCAATAATGATAATCCCACCAGGCATTTCCATCTCTGCCGTTTTCCAGCCCGGCTCTGTCCCCAAGGCTCAGTCCATATAGTGAATGGTTCCTTCTGGAGGAACACAACCACAGAACTAGGGTCCTCTGCTGTGGCAGTGGAAGGGGGGGTCTGATAGCCAGAATCCTAGAATATCAGGACCATGCTATTTCATGCACGCTAGACCTGGAGAGCTGAGTTTCAAGGCCGTCTAATTATCCTTGCAAAACCTGTGCACATCCCAGCAGGATGAGAGGGGAATTACCCATGTCTGGCTTTGCTCAGGGTAGGAGCCCTGGAAGCTTCACCCCTGAGAAGGTGAATCCAGAGATGCGTTACAAACACCCGAATAGGTGACTGTGAGTTCAGTGCCACACGTGGATCGGCAACACTTTAATTCATCATCATGACTATCCGGTGCGGTGCTGTGGTATCCAGGAGAGACTTGTTCCCAACCACACGCTTGCCAAGGAGAAAGAACAGCTGCCCAGGTGCCCAGCAGTGGGGCGTATTCTTTGCAGGACGTACTTCCCGTCTGCCTGCGTCCCGGTGAATCCACAGCTTTTCTAGTCAGTATCCGCTGGGATGCATCTAGAACAATCGCCCTGAAGACCTCATTGTGGTGCGGGCTGGACTTGGAGCAGCTTGTGAGTGTGGTGCAAGCTGTGTTTGCTCTCTGCAGCTATGGCAACCTCAAACTTCTTTATGTTTGGACGCAGGAAAACTGTATCACTAGTGAGATACAACAAGGACAGACAGATGTGTCTTTTTCTCAGGAGAACGTGTTTGATTGACTAAAACTGGGAGAACCTTTTACTGGGTCTGGCCTTCTGCGTGTCCTACTTGACATGGGCTGGTTCTGATGCAGCCCAGGGTGTTAACCATCTTTATTTCTGCAAGAGTTCCCTTTGCATTCTGCCCTCCGTTTGCCTGGGTGCTCACGGGGGAGGCTGACGGTGCAGTGTGGGCCCTCGCTGCCCAGCTCCTGCATTCACTCTATAAAAGGCACTCACAGAGCCACCACTGCAGCCCCAAACTACAGTAGTGAAGTAACATCTGCACTGGACCAGGGGCTGGAAAAGATGCAAGGCCGACAGACTGTCACGGCACCATGGTGGGATCTCTGCCTGCAGCATGAGCCACCACACGTGTGGGCTCTGGGAGCAGGTGTGACCCGTGGGCTGTGGCAGGAGACTCCCCACTGGGGAGACCCCATCCCCGGCCGGACCAGCTTCCTCAGCATCACCATCGTGGGCAGACTCCACTTTGCTGGTGGCCCTTCTTCTGGGTTGCCGTTAAATCAGGGGAGCCCACTCCTCCCACTGGCAAAGTCCTGTTCTCACCGGCACATGATTGGAAACAAGAATAGGAGAAGCCAAAAAAGGCCTGCCAGGGGAGTGTCTCACATCCCTACGTCCGAGGCCCTGTGTGAGCAGCTCCGCTGTGCTTGGAAGGATTGGGATATGTAATGGCAGGCTGTGGGATGACCCCCAAAGATGGTCATGTCCTAATCTCTGGAACCGGGGAATATGTAACTCTATGTGGCAAAAGGGACTTTACAAGTGGGGTGAAGGTTCCTGAGATGAGAATTGATCCTGGGTTATTGGGTGGGCCCAAGGTCACCACAAGAGCCCTTGTAGGAGGGGGCAGGAGGGTCAAGGGCAGGAGGTGATGTGGCTGTGGAGGCAGAGACCGAGAGGGCTTGGAGGCTGCTACGCTGCTGTCCTTGAGGAGGGAGGATGCAGGTGGCCTCTAAGAGTGAAAAAGGGCAAGGAAAGGATCCTCCCCGGGGGCCTCCAGAAGGAACGTGGCCTGCTGACAAAATCCTGTCTCCAGAACTGTAGGGGAGTAAGCGTGTGTGTATGCATGTGAGCGTGCGTGTGCCCTTGTGTGCATGTGTCTTTGTACACGAGTGTGTGCATGTGTTTGTGTGCATGTGTCTGCATGCGTGCATGTGTGTATGCACATTTGTGTGTGTGAATGTTTGTGTACCTGCATGCATGTGCTCATGGGTGTGTGTGCGTGTGTGCATGTATGTGTTTGCATGTGTGCATGTGAGCGTGTGTGTTCATGTGCATGTGTGCCTTTGTGTGTGTGCATGTGTATTTGTATGTTTGTGTGCCTGTGTGCATGTACACATGTATATATGTGCATGTGTGTGTGCATGTGCGTGCTTGTGTGTATGTGTATGTGTACCTGTGTGTGTGCACACGTGTGTGTACACAGGCATATGTGCATGTTTGCATGTGTGTGCGTGCACGTGTGTGCATGCATGTGTGTGTATGTGTGTGTATGTGTGTGTGTAAAGTTTGTGTTCCTTCCATGACCAGCAGGTTTGTGGTCACTGGTTAGAGCAGCAGCAGAGACACAGTAACCTGAGTGTTGACAGCACGGAGCGGCAGCCCAGCTTTGATCTGGTAGACAGGTTTCTGGGACCATTTTATTGACGATTACACCTGTTTTAGCCTATGTGGATATGGCTGAAGAGTGATGGGAATAGAAAAAGAAAAGATGATTGGGAATTTAGTGATCAGACCATAGAAAATGAAGTGGCTGGATCCTTCGTGTGTGAAGTTAGAGTCCCAGGTGGTTGTTTCCCCGGCTGCAGACACTCGGTGCCCCTGCCGCGGGGTGGCGTCCTCACCCAGCCATCCGCCCTGGGCCCCCCACAGCTGGGCTGGTGGACGACGGGTCCATGGATGGGCGTCACAGAGGTGAAAGCTGGCAGGAAATACTCTGGAACATAAAAGTGCGTCCTGTGCTTCTACAAATCACACTGGGTGAGACTGAGACACCTTGGAAAGAGCAGCGTCTCCCAGCCTCTGCACGTGGTTTCTGCCTGTCCACTCTGAGGTGATGAGAACGTCACCGTGGCTCTCAGTTGCCTGAGATCCAGTTCCTCCAGTTAAATGCTGCATTCGCCCCATGGGTCAGGGTCTTCACTGGTGGGTTGACCAGCTCCCATTTTCCTTCCTCTTTATTTTCTTCACAGAAGCACATGCCCAGGGAAGGGATCTAGAACAGAGTTTTAAACCACTTGTTAATATGCTGTAACAAGTCAGTGGATTTCAGACTAGCTCCAAAGCCAACTGTCAGGCGCTCCTCTGCCTCGGAGGGTCTACGACTGTCCAGGCTGGCACTGCCACTGTCAAACGGCACCAACGCCTACCAGGGCGGTGCCCTGTGGGGGATCCCCTAACCAGGGGACGCTGGACAGTTCTGGAGACATTTCTGATTGTCACAACCGAGCATGGAGGTGGTGCCGACAGCTAGCGGGTAGAGGTCCTACAAGGTGGCACAACCTATGATGCGCAGAGTGGCCCCCGCCACAGCGGTGTGCAGGCCGAGCTGGAGACTGCTGTCCGCCACTCAAGGAGTGACTCGTAGTCTCACATCCAACATCACAAAAGGACACAGACATTGAGTTTTCAGACCCAAGAGAAAAGCGCCAAGTGAACCTTTACACCTCAGCGCCTTCGTCTGTGAAATGGGTGCGTGGGAACCGAGCTTCGTGGTGAAGCCTTTCTTGTTTTTGACTTTTTCTTTTTCTTTCTTTCCTTCCTCTTTCTAATGTCTAGAAATTCCTCAGGCAGACGAAATTCTCAAAAACGCCAACTGGCCTGGGGACGCAAGCGAAGCAGGTGTTTTGACCCCAGGGCGATTCCCTCCTTTGTGCTTGTAGGGGCTGTGGCGGGTGGGTGGTGATGGGCTGGCTGGGGAGGGTCCAGTTGCCTCTATTTGGAGGCCCATCATTTGGCAAGTCCCCCTTTGTATTTTCTGATATGCATGAGCAAGTCCGGCTTATTTTGGGGTGGGGGCTGTTGGTGTGGTGAATGCTACGTGATCAGTATAAGAAAGTCTAGTGGTTTGGAAGTTCAAGGCTGGCATCTACGGAAGGGGGTGAAGGATCCAAGGAGTGGGTGCAGCTTTGGCCACAAAGGCTCATGGGTTTGGGGAACTGTCAGCGGCTGGCGCGTGCAGCGCTGCCACCCTTGCGGGTTACACGGACCTTCAGGAGCGCCTGGGCTGGGGGCCTGGTGTGTGTATGGGGCTGTGGGAAGGGCTGTGAGTACAAGAGGAATGCATCAGAGCACGTGTGTGGGAGACCCACTGGCAGAAGCAAGAGCAACATTTTGGGAGCAGGTGGTGCGGAGCCGCCCCAACAGTCCTCGGGAAAATCCATGCAGGCCCCTACTAGTGTGGTTCGGAGGGCCGAGCCGTCCTGTTTGGACGATGCTCACCTGGTGGCTCAGGAACCCAGAGCACTTGGGAACATCTGGATCGTAACTGGGAAGCACCGGCCTGAAGACGCGTTGCAGGGGAAGCATGCTTCTACTCAGGGGCCGAGGAACGAGAAAGGGGGACGCGGGTGTCTGACCCCTAATTGCCAAGTGACAGTGACCTGTGGCAGGCGTGCTCTTCATATGCATAAGTTCTCAGCCAGCTGCTGAGGCGGGCACAACTAGAGGGCCAAGCCCTCCTGTAGGCACCTGGGTGGCGTCACTGGGCTGGGCCTGGGAGTTGGGCCCCTCCGAAGCCCCTAGACCTCTTGGGGGACTCAGCAACACCCTCTCCGCCCACAACTTAGGGCAAACAAGCTGAGGCCAGTGTGGACCTGTGGCTGTGCCGCGTAAAGAAAGCAGGTCAGGGCCTCCGGCACCTCCGACGCCAGGCGTTGTCTATGCTGTGCTCGCCTCCTGGGCACTGACCAGTGGCCTGATTAATTTGATAAAAAGGTCCGGACCATGGTGAGTCCAGCCTTGAGCAGATCTGCATGGAAGGGGGCGGGGCCGCGGGGGGGAGGATTCGCTCCTGAGTCTGCCTGCCTCAGTTCACCCACGGACTGGACGGCACCCTCTCACTTTGCTGGGTGATAGTCAAGCTTGTCCAAGATGCCACGTGTGCATTGTCCTCTGTCATCCGCAAGGCAGCTACAGCCAGATCACGCTTATTCTGTGCTGGGTGACTCCAAGAGCAAGAGGGCAGAGGGCCCTTCTCGTCCGTCAGCTGCCCGAGCCCAGGTCCCCGGAGGGTCAGAAGCGAGTCTCGCAGTCTTTTCTTCCCTCCTCATCCAAACTGCTTACTCCTTTCTGGACTGTCTGTTTTCCTACGGCAGCTGCCAGGGGTGACGGGGTGAGCTGCCTGGTAAACACTCGGCAAGTGACCAGTGATGACGAGGATGACTGACCCATCCACCAGCCCCAGCCTGAGGTCGCGCTTTGCACAGGAGCAGGCGGGCACCGTCTCCAGGGGCACGTGGATCCTGGTGACCCTGGGTCAGCTGGACACTTGTTTTCATTCCAAGAAGGGGCTGTGATAACCTGTGTCTTTGGGGTACTTGACTTCGTGACTCTAAGAGCCAAGAGTGGGCACGTACCTTTCTCACGAGCTGGGCAAAATCCCCGCACTCCCGGGGCGGCAGCCCCAGCAGTGGGCGCGTGCAGGAATCCAGCGTGGAGCCGTGACTCACAATCAGGATGACGCCTGCTGCGGAAAACAAGAACACCTCCAGGTCAAAGCAGGCCCAGCGAGCACCTGTTAGGAGACCGGGGTCATGGAAGTGTCTGGGGCAGAGCTACCTCAGAGTGCCCCAAACACTTTGGGGACCCCAAAGTCTACCCAGAGTGCCCTGGAGAGACCCCTGGACTAGGAGGTAGCGTGGCGGGTGATGGCTTAGTGACGCCTGCATCCCGCCCTTGCTCGCAGAATCCTCTGCATGCAGCAGCTGCCCGCCAGCCTCAGGGAGGCCTAGGAAGTGAACTGAGCCACCCCCTCCCTGTGGTGGCCGGCTGCCTGGGCCCCGTTTGGGATGGGGTAGCGGTGGCTGTTGCCCAGGCCTGACCTGGTTCACTTTAGAATGGTCAGCTGGTTGTTTTCTTACGCGAGCCTGCTACGACTCCTGCTTTAGATCAGAACGCCTGGAGACCACAGAAGGAGGGGCGCCCTCAGGTGAGATGCGTGTCCCTGCCAGCTCGGGGGAAGGTGTGGGAAGCCAGTGCTTCTGCGTGCGCTTCATCCAGGACAAAGCAACGCCCGAGGGTTAGGAGACCCGCGTGGTGGGTCAGGAAGGGGGCTCCACCCGGAATTGGTTGTTTCTCCTCTCTGTCTCTTTTGTTTCCCGGGAAGCTGACTTGAATCCCTTGGACACGGGCGGTTCGTGCTGACCCTGCTGGCCTGGGTCCCATCAGCCCATGAGCAGTCAGCCCCAGGATGAGGGGTCCCGGGGCTTGGGCGGCAGGGGAGCGCGTGTCTATGTACCCGGTTACTGCAGCAGCAGCAGCAGCAATGAATGCTTTGCTGCTGGAGAATGTGGGGGAGGGGAAGTGAAGGCATTCATAGGTTCAGAAAATCAGCCAATTTCTGTCTCAGAGAGAATTCCCCAAGCCCCAGGGGCCGTCCATGCCGAGGATGGTGAGGCACTTACTGTCCTGCAGACGGGTGTTGACGATTTGCAGCACGCTCGCTGTGCACCTGTCCACGTACTCCTGGTAGCTCTCCGCCGGCATGAGGGCCGACAGGGGAAACGCGGGCCTGGAAGGAGGAGGGGGAGGCTGCTGCCCTGGCCCTTTGGTATGGATTAGGAGGGCGCAGCTGCAGTTAGCTAGGGAAGGAGAATGCTCTCCTGGGATGGCTCTGTCTCAAGGCTGGGCTCATGGGCAACAGGGAGGCTCTAGTTTTGTGCTGAAAACTGGCAAAGCGCTAACCGTCAGTCTCCAGCACATTCTTAGTGAACACCAGGAGGGCTCTGTGATGGCAGAGTCAGACATGGGTGGAGAATGACGAAGACTCTCTTTGACCAAACTCCAGTCCGGCTCCCCTGAACCTTCTTCTCGATGCAGGCTTGACCCTTAGGCTTCTGTGTCTGTTCTTGCAGAGTGAGTTTAGCAAGAACCTGTTACCCTCGGCCTCTGGTCAAGTTCCCTGTCCTCTACCACCCTCCAAGCGATGTCTGATCACCTTGGCCTGCCTTTAGCTGGAGTCCCTGTTTGTGTCACTTTAGCAAGAATGACCCGCCTTCTCAGAAATTTTCCAGTCACCAACTTCTACCCTGCTCTGTGGCTATAAATCCCCGCTTTTCCTTGTATTAGGAGTTGAGCCCCATCTCTCTCCCCTGCTGCAAACCTCACTGAAGCGGTCCCTTTGGAATAAAGTCTTTCTTACCATTTTAACAGTGTCATGAAATTTTTCCTTAACAAGAACTAGAAAAGCCCCAGCGGCAGAGAACTTTAGAACAGCACACCTGTAATCAGTGTCGACGTTGAAATTCGCCTCTCTCAGCTCTTCCAGGCTCATGAGGGTTGGGGTGGTTTTGCCAGCTTCCCATTTTGTCCATTCAAATATTCCAGGTTCCACTCGTATCTTGATTTTTTTCTCCAGTTTGAGTTCTGGATTCAACAGAATACAAGTGTTTATCATCTTCAACGTCCACGCTGACCTTGCATAAATAAGTCTCCTTTTAGATCTCAGACTGTCACACACACACGTCTAAATCATGCCTTTTAAACAACGGGATTTTCTTCGTGGCAAATACTGTTCTGTGATTAGGCACAGCCATGGTATTTCTGAGGTGAGAACTGATGAGCCGTGGGAAGGTATCAGAGGAGTGGTGACCCCCTGTGTGCCAGGAAGGGCCAGGGTCTCCTGAGAACTGGTGAGTGTCCCAGGCAGCAGGCCCATCTTGGGGCTCACCTGAGCACCCAGCACAGCTCCACCGTGAAACTCGCCCATGGCCCCATCCTCCAACATGGCGGAGAACCTGCCAGTGAGGACTTGGTCAATCCGATGATCAAAGGACAAGATGCGACCCATCATGAAGAGTGTTAGCCTCATGAGACACTTTCCTGATAAATGCTTACACGGACTGGGCAACAGGTGAAGAATGGAAGGGGCCATCTCCTAGAACATGCTGACTCCCTGCAACTCACACTTCCCGAGCATTTTATATTTTGATTAAAGGAAGAGCAATAAAGTAAGGCCATCTCTTTTGAGTGGAAAAAAAGACCTGAATGTTTTCATTTGGAATGGAGAAGTTGTCACTGAACTCAAATGCTGGACATAAAATCAGTTCCTCAAATGTGTTTTAAGTCCATGGAATGAGCTCTTTCATCAAGCATGCTTAGAAAAGATAGTCAAAGCAAGTTAATCAGGCCCCCGAGTCCTCCCTCATCAACCAGGCCCCCGAGTCCTCCCTCATCAACCAGGCCCCCGAGTCCTCCCTCATCAACCAGGCCCCCGAGTCCTCCTCCAACAACGAGGCTCCTGAGTCCCCCCTGATTAACCAGGCCCCGAATCCTCCTCCAAGCCTGTGAAGGGCTCATTTCCATTTGAACAGATCAGATGAAGAAACAGCATGAGAGCCCCCCAAACAGTGTGGCCATGGGTCTCTTTCTTTTGAGGGTCTCTTGCAGGCCACTGCTCTTTGGGTGTGGCTGTGGGAAACATGCCATCTCGACACTGGCTGACATTGAATTTAAATAAAATGGAGCGCCCTGGCATCTCAGACGCCATCTGAATAGCAGGCTGGTCATGTCTGAGGCCTTGTGAAGAAGACTGGGTGGCCTTGTTTTTCTGCATTGACACAGGATTTATAAACCTATGCCCTTTAAACAGGCAGCACCATCATTACCATCATCACCATCTGCACATAAAAATCACTGAGAGATCACGTTAAACGCTTTGACATTATTGCGGGCAAAAGGCATTTTAAAAAGCTTTTTACTTTATGTGCAAGTGACCCAAATAATAGAAGTAAAAAAATCCACCAAAAATGGGAGTAAGTATGTTAATGAGAACCATGAACAATGACAAAAGAGAGATAAAATTACGCCTCTAATCCCAGCACTTTGGGAGGCCAAGGTGGGTGGATCATGAGGTTAAGAGATTGAGACCATCCTGGTCAACATGGTGAAACCCCGTCTCTACTAAAAATACAAAAATTAGCCGGGCATGGTGGCGCACACCTGTAGTCCCAGCTACTTGGGAGGCTGAGGCGGAGGAATCGCTTGAACCCAGGCAGCGGAGGTTGTGGTGAGCCGAGATTGCGCCATTGCACTCCAGCTTGTTGACAGAGCAAGACTCCATCTCAAAAGGATCCCCCCCACCACCCAAAAAAAGAAAAAAAATTATGAGGAATATTTTTGGTCAGTTGTATTCTTTTATTACAAAGGCTGGCCAAGAGATCTCCGTTTTATTCGTCATTGCTCTCGTAGTGAGAGAGGTTGGGTAGGGAAAGGAAGATCAAGGTCTTCACTAGAAAAGGCACTTGCAAGCGGAGGCAGTAAAAGGCCAGTGAGAGGAGGCCGTTGTTGCCGGCCCTGTGGACACAGGTGACCTGGGGACTCTCCTACGGCAGAAACCAGAGCGGCTCTGAAACCTAGTGGAAGAGCAGCAGCAGCTGAGGGTTTCAAACAAAATGCGTTCAGTGAGTGATGGGGTGCAAAGACCGGGGGTGGAGGAGGAGAGGGGAAACTGAGTCACTGGCCCGTCGCCTCTTGTCATATATTTCTGTGTGTTTCTTGCTTGGTTCATGTCTTATTGTTATAGCTGTTTGGTTAATTAGGTTAATTATAAACATATTGATCCTAAACAACCAGGGATGGAATTGCCACATATCAGTTTTGCTTTATTCCACGTTATGAAGAGCCGCCCTCACGCTGAAGGGTCCCAGATGCTCGGAGACCCCGCCCCTTCACATTTCTGGTCTTGCCATCCTTGTCTCTCCCAAAGGGCAGAGCTGGAGAGACCTCGTCCCATTTCCTATGTCTTCCTGAAAACGCGAAGGTGGGACCTGCTGCTGTGGGCACCGGAACAGGGAGAGGCCGACATCGCGGGACCCTGTCGCCTGGGCTGGGGTCGCGGCTCTGAAGGAGCAGGAGGGTCGAAGTTTCCTCCTCTGTGATCTGTGACTCAGCGCCAAGTGAAACCCCAACGGGTGTGTGTATGTGTGTGGCGTATGGTGTGTGTGTGTAAATGTGTGGTGTGTGTGTATGTGTGTGGTGCGTGATGTGTGTGGTATGGTGTGTGTGGTGTGGTGTGTGTAGTGTGATGTATGGTGTGTGTGTGGTGTGGTGTGTGTTGTGTGTGGTGCGGTCTGTTTGGTGAGTGTGGCATGTAGTGTGTGGTGTGTGTTGTGTTGTGTGTTGTGTGGAGCATGTGTGTGTGGTGTGTGTATGTGTGGTTTGTGTATGTTGTTTGTATGTGTGTGGTGTGCGATGTGTGTGGTGTGTTGTGTGTATGTGGTGTGTGTGTGTGTGGTGTGTGTATGGTGTATGTGGTGTGTATGTATGTGGTGTGTGTGTGGTATATGGTATGTTTGGTGTGTGTGGCTGTGTGTGTGGTGTTTGTGTGGTGTGTAGTGTGTGTGATATGTGTGATGTGTGGTGTGTATGTGTATGTGTATGGTGTATGTATATGTGTGTGATGTGTGTGGTGTGTGTGTGGATGTGGTGTGTGTGGTGTGTGTGGCTCTGTGTATGTGTGTGGTGTGTGGTGTGTGATGTGTATGTGTGTGGTTGTGTGGTGTGTAGCGTGTGATGTGCGTGTGGTATGTGTGGTGTGTGGTATGTGTATCTGCATGCGTGAGATGTGAGGGAGGACTGTGAGAAGGTTCCTTGCCCTCTCCTCTGGCCACACTGCCTCTTGCATTTGGGGATGCGTGGTCCTTTCACGGTTTGGTCAAAGAAGCTGATATTGTTCTTTGATTGTCATCTGGCTCACTGAGAGCCCAGAGGGGCAGTGTAATTAACATGGGAACCTCCAAGTCCAGGTGAGAGAAATCTGCATTTCTGCCTTAGTGGCCTGAGGCGTCTGCAGGGGCTGGGGTCTTACGCCACAGCTGGGTGGGAAATGAAAAGCTGCAGCTGCAAGCCTGAGGTAGATAGAAAGTGTCTTGACGGTGAAGCGCATGGAAGGTGGGTCGTGGATGCTCCATGCTGGTAAAATGGACTTCTGTGCCTCACGAGACTCGGACTGCATTACGGGATGGAAAGTTCACGAGAGCGGAGGACAGGAATGATGAGCCTGTGGCTCGGTGGATGGAGCCAGGCCCGGCTGGGCCAGGGCTTCCTGCGCACCTGGATTGGAAGGTGCTCTGACAGAGCCTCACTGGCGGGGTGGAGGGGCTCTGGGGACATGGGAGCTGGCAGTGCACACGTGTGGGGTGGATCCGCTGCTGTCCCAACCACTCCTCCCGTGAAGGTCCTGGCCCCTCGTAGCACCAGCTCTGACATGGCCCCATGTGCAAGGCCTGGCAAGACCATGATCAGAGGGAGGGCCCCTCTCCTGCAGGACACGCCTTCCTCCCCGCCTTCGGCGCCCATTCCTTCCACCTGGGGCTTGTCGTGCCAGCCGGGCAGCCCCTCCATGGTGCAGTGCCAAATTCTGCTGTCTCCAAGCGGCTCCCTCCTGGACCTTGACCCTCAGATCACCTCCTTTCTCCTGCCCCTCACCTCCCCTGTGCTCGGCCTCCCAGCTGACCCAGCTGAAAGTCCATGGGCACAGTCACCCCCTCACTACACCCTCAAGTCTCCCTGTCCACCATACTCACAGCTCAGCATGCCCGTAGCTGCACCCCACTCTCTACCCACTCCCTGTCTATGCTGGAAGAGATCCCTCAGCCCGGCCTACCCATCCCCATTTAAACTCATGCTCACGAATGGTGGGTGGGCTCTAGTGCTGCCCAGTGGTCACCCTGCATCTCCCAGACCAGGTCCTGGCCCCCTCTTGCTGACAGCCATTTATACCTTCAGCGCACCGCAAATTCCCCTGGTCCCTGTCCCCGCTTTCCACTGGTGACCTGACTTCCTAGGTCTCTGAGAAAGTCAAGGCAAGTTCTTTCCCCCACAGTTGTCCGCCTGCTGCCTCTGCGTCTCTGTGCTCTGCCCTTTCCCCATCACCATGGAGGTGATATGCCCTCTCATGTCACCTGTGCTCCTGGCCACGGCTAGTTCCTGCCTGGGGATCGAGATCTCATCCCTCTTCCCAGACAAAGAGGAGCAGGACAGGCTCCGGCTGAGGGCAGAGTCCAGACCTCTGGGACAAGCTGCCCTCCTCCAGGCAGGAACTTTCTTCTTCCTGAAGGTCGGAGCTGCAGAAGGGTCTGCCCAGGGCTTCCTGACACACATCAGCCCTTAAGGATGCTGGACAGCTCCACTGGCCAAGTGCATTGCCCTGGGAAGGGTCACACATTTCTGACTTAAAAGGAACCATAGCAGTTCCCAGCTCTCAGGGTTTTCGAATGCCGCTTTCCAGGTGTGTCTTTAAAGGCCTTGCTGATGGAGGCCAAAGAGAAACAGTGTGAGGACAGGCCCCGGCACTCGGCTGCACCAGCCCCTACTGGTCTGACGGTCCTGGCATTACAGACATGCTCACGGACTCAGCGTGCCTGCCAACATCCTCGGAGGGCTGGCTCGTACCTGTCTGATGACTTTGGTGTGGGCATTCACTGCCATCATCCAGCTCCAGCTCCACTCCCTTCCCACTCCCCTTGGAGAATAGCCACGAGGTCAAGGGAGTAGGAGAGGCTCACCGGGGTTCTCACTGACCTTCCAGGATGAGTTTGGCCGTCTGCACACAGCGGAGGGCTGGGGAGGCGAACACAGAGCTGATTCTGATACCGCTGTCCAGTAGTGCATCCCCTGGAAAATAATGAAAAAGGCAGAAAATGCCCCTTCATAATTCTAGCCTCTGACCGAAGAGGAGCCATGTGCTCCCTGTGGTAGGCAGGGTCCTCAAAGGGCCCCGGGTTTCTACGCTCTGGTGTACACACCCTGCATAGCCCCCAAGTGGGAGCAGAACCTGTGACCAGGATGATTTGTTGCTCCTGGGACGGTTACATCCTATGGCAGAAGGGAGGGGGTCCAAGGTGGGATTGATCAAGTTGGTGAGCCCATTAAAAGCCATCATTATCTCTAGTCAGTCAGGAAAAAAGTCAGAGGAGTGTGAAGTGACAAGGATTCAGAAAAACATTCTCCTTTGCTGGCTGCAAAGATGGAGGGGACCACATGGCAAGGAATGCGGGCAGCCTCTAGGGCTGGGAGCAGCCCCTAGCTAATAGCCAGCAAGGAACAGACCTCAGTCCTCCCACTGCAAGAATCTGAATTTGGTCAACAGCAGAACGAGTCTGGAAGGAGACAAGCTCCCTGTGGAAACTCAGCCCAGCAGAGACCTGGACTTCAGGCTTTAAGATCCTGAGCAGAGAAGCAGCCCTGTGGGCCTGGGCTTCGAATCTGTGTCACTGTGAGCTCAGAAATGGGTGGTGGTGGAGGGGGGGCTCACATCTGTGTAATTAGAGAAAACTCAAGACCCACTGAGGCTCGTGGAAGGACAGGCCTGTGCACTGCCTCTCCCCTGGTAACACTGAAGCCCTGTACTCACGGAAATGCTAGGGGAGTCCCTACAGCACAAAAATTGCACAGCCCCAAAGCTGGTGAGTGAAGTTTCAGTGGAGGCACTTACGGGTTGAACTGTGTCCCCTCCCCTGAAAAACATGTCAGAGTCTTCACCTCTGGTGCCTTAGAATGTGACTCATTTGGAAACAAGATTTTTACAGTGATAAGTTAAAACAAGGGTGGGCACCTCAATCAGTTACGCTAGGGTGGGCTCTAATCCAGCACGGCAGTGTCCTTGTGAAAGGGGACCTCTGTGCACAGAGACATGCGTAGAAGGGGAAAGGAAGACAGAAGAAGAAGTCGCCTGCAAGCCAGGGACAGAGGCCTGTGAGCGCCATCGCCTCCCGACTCAGCATCCTGGGACCGCACACTGGGAGCCTGGAATCGGCTGTCGGGGAGTGCAGTATTTTCAACAGTGCACTCAGCAGGTGCTGTGACTCGGACTTCTCACCCTGCCCAGAGCTGGTGGGTAAACATTTTGAGCACACCTCTGGGTGGGGGCCCGCGAGAGCGGGCCGTGGGGGTCTCGACATTAACGTGGGTGTGACTTGCTTCTCTGGATTCTGCTTTCTGAATTTAGGCATGACTCAATGAACTCAGTGGTCTCTTCTGTTTGAAAAACTCAGTCACGTAGAAGCAGAACCCCCAGACACAAAACAAAAGCCCAAAATGACAGATTTTGAAATAAAACCAGGGGAGGATGTGGTTTTCCATTTTTAAAGTGAGCTCCTTGGTGCATACAGTGGTTGTTGATTGTTCCTTCCCTCTCTCATTCTTTTGAGGCCTTTCTTTCATTCCTCCCAACTTCCTGAATCATCCCTTCCTAGATCAAACCTCTGCACTGCCACTTTCTTGCTGTGTGACCTTGGGCAAATCACTTAACCTCTCTGTGCCCCAGCCTCCTCAGCAGAGTGGGGACAAAGTTAATGCTGTAAAGATCAGGCAGCGAGGGTTCAGGCTGGATGCCTGTTAGCCATAATCATTGCTGCTCTTATTGTTACCCTTCCCACTGACAGCCTTCCAACATACCTGCAATTCTGGACTGGAAAATGCCACACGATGATAATGGGGGATCATTTTCAAAGTCTTTGATCCCACGACTCCGTCTGGGCAGACTGCAAGGGAAGTTCAGGTCTGGCCTGTAGTATTTCCCTGGAGTAGAAATAAGCATCAGATGCTCAGTTTCATCAAGTTAGTGCAGATTCGTTCCACAAAACTCCCAAGACTAAGACCCACTCTAACGTCAAGGTTATTGAAATTATTGTCAGCTCTGTTGTTTCCGAATGTGCTCTGCAACATGGCTTCAAACTGAGAAGAAAGTGCTGCTCAGCTGTGCACACATTTTCTCAAATGCAGAAAACTTAGGTTTCAGCCCCATGAACCATGCAACCCTCTTTGTCCTCCCAAAACCCCCCATGAAGGTTCACTCTTGGCCACGCACAGTGGCTCATGCCTGTAATCCCAGAACTTTGGGAGGCCGAGGCAGGTGGATCACCTGAGGTTGGGAGTTTGAGACTAGCCTGACCAACACGTTTCTTCCAATATGGAGAAACCCCATCTCTACTAAAGATACAAAATTAGCCAGGTGTGGTGGCGCATGCATGTAATCTTGGGAGGCTGAGGCAGGAGAATCACTTGAACTCAGGAGGCGGAGGTTTTGGTGAGCTGAGATCGCACCACTGCACTCCAGCCTGGGCAACAAGAACCAAAGTCTGCCTCAAAAAAAAAAAAAAAAAAAAAAAAAAAAGAAAAAGAAAAAAAAAGAAAAAGATTTACTCTTACATTTTTCTGATAAAGAACGTGATAAAGTGTCTCTATGACTGATTTAGCATAACTTGCTAAGAATCTGAAGTTGGCATCAATGATCCATGCCCCTAGCTTTAGACGTATTCTTCTTGCTCAGGGGACACAGTACTCTGGCTGGAGATGCCCTGCGTTGTGCATTCTTTTGTCAGTTGCTTGAAGCCAGGCTAGAAGCCAGGTGGGCTCACTGGGGCTCTCTTCCACCAGAGGCTGCCTGGTGCCAGGGTTCACTGGGAGTTTGACCTTGAGTTCTAAGATCTGATGGTCTGGTGGCAAATCCTGGTGCCACCATCTTCTCACTGTGTGACTTTATCTCTCTTATCAGTAAAAAACAGGGAAAGGGTAGAGATTGCAAGGAGCCAGTAACGTAACACTCATAGCTCAGCTCCTGACTCAGAGTGAGTGGCCAATGAGTGGGGGTGCTGGTCTCATGTCAGAATGACTGATTATCCTCATATAGGATATCAGGACACACCGCATCCTCCTGTGCACTCTGGTTTGCCTTCACATCTTCCAGAGGGACCCCAAACCTTCTGGCTACTGGTAGGTTCCAGCAGCCACACTGACCTTCCTAAGACCTGCTCTGCCATATCTGGCAGGCCCTGCCCTTTGCACCCCAGAATATGCCAGGCCACTTCATCCTGGCCCACAGCTTTGCACAAACCCAGCGAGGGGTGGTGGGAGGCAGCAGGGGTCGGTTGGGGGCAGTGGCTATTTTTCATGCCAGTTTTTTAGGTTCCATGTACGAGTTTCCCAAAGACTCCCTCCCTGGGATTTCTGTGGGCAGAGACTCATTGGAACCCTGTGTTTTAGAGGTATTTATTCAATGCCAGTGTTAGCTGTTGGGAAAGGTAGTTTTAAAATCTTTTTTTTTTTCAGGGAGAAAGTCCATCAATTTTATTATATTCTCAAAGGCATCTGTGATCCCCCCAAAATGTCAAGACATTCCATTTAGGTATTTTGCTTGTCATTGACACTTCTGTGATCACTCTGGGGCAGAGGGCAGAGCTCAGGAGAGGACAAGGATGTGGGGCAAGGTCAGGTCTTGATGGGAGCAGAGTCTGTGCAGAATATGAAGTGAGGTGAGGGGCCCTGTGAGGGTGTGGGCACTTGGGCCAAAAGTGAGCTGCAGGGAGAGGCCAGGAGAGCCCCCCAAATATCTCTTGTGTCCCCTGAGATTGGTCACCTTGGGGGAGAATGTGGCTATACCTCATTGTGATTTATTAAATCCTGCAATATATAGAATACAGACAAACTAGATGCCATTCTTCACTTTATCGAGGGTCTCTCTACCTTGGGAAAAGATCCACCAGGAGTTTCCTTTCAGCTAGGGATTTCCAGTGCCTTTAAAATATTTTCCCTTACAAGTGACTTGATCTTTTGTTCAGATGACCAGGTATTTTTTCTTTTTCTAGGAAGTCCAATAACTATTTTTGGTGTTGATTGTTTTGTATTGATTCTCCGCATCATGGACACGGTGTGTCAGTTCAATCTATAGCTTCAATAATTATTTTATTGCAATAAAATTTCTTATATGCTTGTTAATGCATCCTGATAGCCACCTATTATCTTGTTGTTTCTTCCTTAAGCTCTTATATCTTTAGTTGAACTTGTTTTATAAAGGTGACCATATTACTAGCTCTGCAAGTTGTTGGAAATATGTTTGATCATGATGTTATCTACTCAGAATCTTTTCTGGTGTGTGATTGTTATCTGTCAATGGTTTTCCCTACTCAGTTCCCACTTTCTTGGGTCTGCTGGACTCCTGGAGTGGGATCCCAAAAGGGTTTGGCTAACCTAGCAATTGTGAATGGATTTTGTCACTATGTTCAATGCTTTAATTTATGTAATGGGTCATGGCTTAGAAATTGTGACACGGAAGGCTTCCTATGAGGAAGAGATGAGCATTGACATGGACATTGATCATCAGTACAGAGGTTGGCTTGTGGGTATGTGTATTTATAAGCTCTGTTCTTACCTCCTGGCATTCAGAGGAGCAAAGCTGGGGTGCATAAGAGGCATGTTTAAGAATGTGCCCATCTGTTAAGCAGCATAGCCAAAAATTATAGCAGTTAAGATTAGGTTGCAGAGGTTCAGAGATGAGACTGAGAGGTATAGCATATGCCAGCCTCGGCGGGGTTAAGAGACTACAGACTGGGGTGCATTCACTAACCAAATGCCATATATGTGCTGCTGGGATGAAAAGACCAGCCAAGCATTCACACTAGCGGACCTGCTTCCTATTGAGAGCCATTCCTCCATCATCTCTAAGTAGTTAGTTGACGTAAGAGGTTTTTTTGTTTTGTTGTTTTTTTTTTTTTCATTGAGATGGAGTCTTGCACTGTTGCCCAGGCTGGAGTGCAATGGTGTGATCTCAGCCTACAGCAACCTCCACCTCCCAGTTTCACCTGATTCTCCTGCCTGAGCCTCCCAAGTAGCTGGGGTTACAGGCGCACACCACCACATCTGGCTAGTTTTTGTATTTTTAGTAGAGATGGGGTTTAAGTATGTTGGCCAGACTTGTCTTGAACTCCTGACCTTGCCATCTGCCTGCCTCAGCCTCCCAAAGTGCTGGGATTACAGGCGTGAGCCATTGCACCTGGCAGAGGTAAGATTCTCTTTTTTTTTTTTTGAGACGGAGTCTCTGTCACCACGCTGGAGTGCAGTGGTGTGATCTCGGCTCACTGCAACCTCTGCATCCTGGGTTCAAGTGATTCTCCTGCTTCAGCCTCCCAGGTAGCTGGGATTACAGGCACGCACCACCACACACAGCTAATTTTTGTATTTTTAGTAGAGATGGGGTTTTGCCACGTTGGCCAGGATGGTGTCAATCTCCTGACCTTTTGATCCTCCCACCTGGGCCTTCCAAAGTGCTGGGATTATGGGTGTGAGCCACTGTGCCTGGCCTGAGGTAAGATTCTTACAGACAACACGCACACTCAAATGCGTACATGGAACACCCCAGAGGAAAATGCAGCAGGCACGTTTTCCACATATACACAAGGTCATTCCACAATATATACAAGGTCAATATACACAATACACACAAGGTCATTCCACATATATACGAGGTCAATATACACAATATACGTAAGGTCATTCCATAGACAACACACACACTCAAATGCGTACATGGAACACCCCCAGAGGAAGATGCAGCAGGCACATTTTCCACATATACACAAGGTCATTCCACAGAAGGTGCCTCAGGGGATCTGGTGCCACGTAAGGACGTTCAGTCTCACTTGTCAGATCCACAGTGTTTTGTCCATAGACCCGCCCGAGTGTGACCTACCGTCGGGGGTGGAGCATTGCTGCAGCCATGACTTCCCGAAGATCTGATCCACCCTCTCCCCGTGGCGAACCACCAGCACGCTCTTCCTTGCAACTGTGGCCTGGGTGGGGGTGGGGGGAGCAGGAAGCAAGGCACATGCAGTTTAACATCCAACGCGCCAGATTTGCACCAACGGCAGCTCTCCTGGTCACCCAGCAGCTGGGAGGGAATCTCCTCCTTCATTGGTCAATAACTCAGCCCATTCGCCAAAATCATGAAAATGAAACAGGACATGAAATTGGCAATCTCTTCAATTTCTTCCAGTGTTTTATTTTCTGGGCATTCTAACATCAAGGAAATGAAAAGAGACAGGATTGGCCCCTATCATGGCACATCTGTTTTTCTACTTTTCTGTCTTTTCTAAGTCCTTATCCTTCCCATAGAGACTTCTTAGGACACGACCCCTATTGATATTATATGTACCGTTATAATGTAGATTATCTGTCTATATATCTAGTCTCCTCTCTCGTTGGCACACTTCTTCTGAGGAGCCCTCCAGGACTACCCTGGTGTTGGCAAGTTAAGGAGCAGACCTTTTATGGCTCCCAGGTGTGAATTCTGCTTCTGAGCACCAAGGGGAGAAGCCCTCATCCATCCCCTTGCTGTTCTCCCATCGCTGTTCATTCTCTGCTTGGCTAAGCACTAGAGGAAAACAGTACTTTATACTTTCTTTACATCTTCTTGGCATGAGGGGGCCTTGGCCGTGGGCAGCGGCTTCACGCCGGGGAGAGCAGCTCTCTGGCACCTTCCTCTCTGGCCTCAGGCAGCCCAGGATGGTCTTGGAGCCTTGCAGTCACAGGCCTCATGCCGCCCTGTTTCTGGAGAGCCTGTGCTTTGGGGAAGAAGCTCAAGGGTCATGCTGAGAGCAGCGGCATTGGCTACTCTTTGGGAGGGGTCTCCTCTGTGTGGGTTGGTGTTGGGGGGCTCTGTCCTCAGGGGGCTGGGCCACCCTTCTCCCCATGCTGTTCAGGGCTGAGTGGAGGGGCTGGCCTTGAGGGGAACCCACAGCAAATGAAATGGAGTGAGTGAATGAGAGCCAAGGATGGCCCCTGGGACCAGAGAGCAGAGTGCTGGGGCTGAGCCAGCTAGAGGCCACCAGGACAGCTGTGTGGAGCTTAAGCCCTGTGCCAGGACCCTGGAGGGAGACATCAGGCTCAGCGGCTTCCCTGGAGGGCACTATTGTGCCAGCTGACGTCGGCCCTGCACCTACACCCCCAGCCCCAGAATCAGGCCCAGGCTTTCCAGGGGGTTCCATTTCAGAGAAAGGGGGGAATCCCTGAAGCAACATGGTCCCAATGGTGCTGCCCTCTGGCACCCGGGACTTGAGCCTCAGCCTCCCTGTAACACTGCACAGCAGGAGGGAATATGTCACATGCTGGACATGAAGCTGTAGTCCACAGGGTACCTGGGTCCAGGATCCCAGGGTCTCTGCTTTAGGGAGTGGCCAAGGGATGAAGGTGGAAAGATGAGTCTTCAACAGACAGGGTGGGGACAGAGCGAGCAGAGCCGGCCACGGGAGGTGGGCTGCAGGGCTTTCTGGGGACCAAGTCCTGCCTGGAGCCAAGGTGACCAGGGATGGACAGGGTGGGGAGGGCCCCTGGGCAGGAGGCAGCTCGGGCAGGTGCAATCCCTGCCCTGCCCCCTCTTGGCCACACAGCTCTCTCTGGGCTAAAATGAGAGGGCAACACGTGTGTTTTGCCACTGAGCAGGGTAAGGAAGAGAGGTGAGGACAGGTGAGCCTTGTCAGCGCAAACCCTCATGCACCAGCCCCAGCATCGCCCTGATTCCCCCAAAATCCTAGAGAGGAAAATGCACATGCCTTTAACATCCAAATGCCCCCCAGAGGAAGGGACTCATCTTCCACCTGGCCGGTGCTGCTGATCATTCCTATCTGGACTTGCTTCTGTGAACAGCGATCTAGTCTCAAAGGTCTGCACTCACTGGCCACTCACCCTGGCAAGAGTGGTCCCCAGTGGTGTCCCTGCGCCTTGGGAAGTGATTGGAAACTACTGGGAAGGAAGGGATGCCAGAAAGTAGGGTGGGGGCCCATTTCACCTGCCTCGAAAGCATTCTTGGGTCAGCACCACGGGCAGCTCCTGCCAGACTCTGTGGATCCGCTGTACAGTCCACACTGGCCTGGGCAATGCAGAATTTCCAGCTGCTGACAGTCATCGGGACCAGACAGTTCTCCACGGCCCTGACCACATTTGGTAGGTGCATAAACCATGGGATTGGTGAGCCGATGAGAACGTTTGCAATCTCCATGCAAATGCTTTCTCAGGGTCCCGGGGCTGAGTCTTCAAAATGAACATGTAGTAAGGCCAAGCGAATAGTATTGGTGTCCCTTATTGGAGAGTTTCAGCTGTTTGCTTCAGGATAGAAACACCCGTCTCCTGGGGAAGGCCTCCAGGGGAGGTTTGTCTTGCTGTCTTGCAGTTGTGAAGTGTGGTTACGCAGGGGGTGCCTACACTGACACCAAGAGGCAGCACCCGCCACCCCATCCCAGAATAAATATTAAAATATCCTAGCCCATTCCCCTGTAGACAGCTGATCTGAAAGTAGGTCGCAAAGCATGTGTGTGCTTGGAACCTCATTCTGCCTAGTAACAAAGTCCATGCATTGGGCTGAAGTTTTGGATGTGGAGTGTTTTCTTCCTGGAAGAGCTCAGAACATTTTAAACGCTCTCCTGTGGAGCTTTGCCACAGCAATATGGTGATAAAGCAAAAGAAAGATCTGTGGGGAGTGGAATGGACTGACCCCTGGGATCTGTGGAATGAGACAGGGCTGTAGCAATTCTCTAGACAGAAGGTGCTGCATTGGTGACCTGGGGCTGCCATACAGGCTGGGTGGTGCGAAACAACAGACATTTATTCTCTCCTGGCTTTGGAAGCTGGAAGTCCAAAGCCAAAGTGTTGGCAGGGCTGTGCTCCCTCTGAGGTTCTAGGGGAGAATTTATTCCTTGCCTCTTCCAGCTCCTGGTGGCCGCACACATTCCTTGGCTTGTGGTGGCATCACTCCAGTTTGTGCCTGTGTGTCCACATAGCCTCCTCTGCTGCTGTATCAAATCCCCTCTGCTTTTCTCTCATCAGGACACTCATGATGGGATTTAGGGCCCTCCTGGATAGCCAAGGATAATCTTCCCATTTCAAGATTCTCAACTCAATCCTGTCTGCAGAGACCCTCTTTCCTAATAAGGTCACATACACAGGTTCCAAGGCTTAGGACATTATCTCTGGGGCCATGATTCTGCCTCCCACAGGTGCGTTTTACCAGACCTGTTGCCAGTTTTCTTTTCTTACTACAGCGAAGGGGTGAAATCCCTATAGAGAAGACCACATGAGGGGGTCCAGTTCACAGGCAGATGTGTGCCCTGTCTTCAGCCATTGAAGCACAGTTTAGACACAGGCTGAGCTACGAGCGGAGGCTTCCATCGCAGGTCCTTCCCATCCTGCCATCTGGAAAGCAGGCCACGGCCCTGGGGAGTCTCCCAAGCCTGGGCCTTTCTCACATGGTGAATGCTGATCGCCATTTCACACGGACCCAGCTTCGGAGACACATTCTTAATTTCTCAAGAAAAGGCCTCCTCAGCCAGCCACCAAGGCAGCAAAGACCTGCCTAGCTTTCGGGGCTGCTTAGCTTTCGGCTGATTTGCATCAGCTGCCAGGAGGCGCAAATGGCGGAAATGGTGACAGGGACGCTGCTTCAATGGCAGAAGTTTGCTCTCTCACCGTCCTGGAGGCTGGAGGTCAGAGATGATGGCATTGCCAGGCCTGGCTCCTTTAGAGGCCTCTCTCCAGAACTTGCAGGTGGCGTCTCCTCCCTGTCCTCACAGGGCCATTCCTCTGTGTGTGTCTGTGTCCTCATCCCCTCTTCTCATAAGGGCAGCAGGCAGATGGGTCAGGTTGCCCCAGCCTCATTTCACCTGAAATATGTCTTTCAAGGCCTCGCCTACAGATACAGTCACATTCAGGGGGACTGGGGGTTAAGACTTCGAGATAGGAATTTTGGAGACACACAGTTCAATCCGTAACAGAGGGTGAGCGTTGATCCTAAGATCCTAAGCCAGGGATGAGTCCCAGTGGGGTCTTCCTTTGGTCGTTCCAGAGATTTGTGGACCAGGCCTCAAGCTGGGCCCTGGGGACTAGAGAATGAGCCAGGCTACTGTGGCCCACCCTCTGGGCACAACAGTCTCACCTCACCAGGGGCCTGGCCGTGGTGGGCACTTGATGCCCTGTTTCATGTAATCCTCCCCACAATCTGATGGGAGGGTGGTAGGACAATCTTCCTAGCCTCCATGAGCCCCAGTTTTCGGATCTGTAAAATGGGTAAGGGGCAGGAATAGGGCCTCCTGTGTTGATTGGGGGTAGCAGGGGTGAGAGATCCTGAAATAACATGTGTGGCACACGGCAGAGCACGGGAGGACAAATTTGGGAACAGTAAGGACAGGGAGGTATTTCCACCACTGTGGCAACTGGACCAGGGCCGGCAGCAGCTGCAGCCCCTTCTAAGGGGCTCTTCTGTAAGGAGGGTGATGCTTCAGATCACAGGACAGGGGTCAGGGATGCCATCCACTTGTTTGCCTTCAGGGAGGGGCTGCCTGCTCGTCGGTGTCTCTGCCTGGAAGCCTGCTCTCCTGGATGTGTCCTGTGAGGGTGGCCGGCTCATGGTGCCCTGTTGTGCCCTGACCCCTGGCCTGAGGCTGCTGAAACCCCAGGTTATGAAGAGTTTTACCTCAAAAGATGAGGAGCCAAGGCACTGGAGGAGGTAACGTCTTGGAGGCCGCTTGGCTCATGAATGAGGGAATGGGGTGAGAACTCGGGAATCTGGGTGGGGCTGTGCCCTTGCCCTGGTGCCATGCCCTGGTGCCATGACTGAAGCCTCCTTGAGGAGCTTGAAGGTGGGGCACTCTCCCATGGAGGGGGTGCCTCCCTGTCTTCCCAGAGCAGATGGATCAGGGCAGGACCCCCTGGCACCTCAGCACTGGTGGGAGGCCCCTTTGCGGACCCACGCCTGGGTCTGTGCTCTAGGCCAGCAGTGGGGATGTGTCTGTGGAACAGAAGCTATTCCCACGCAGCTTCATCCACCACGAAGTTAATACAGAGTGTGGTTTTGCTTAGTTTACTTAAAAGAAAAGAGAGAACGTTCTATTACCTGCAAGGCCTGTATGCTGCTGAGACTCCGGGCTGTTTGTGAAAGAAACTCCCCACTGCATCTGCTGCTGGCTTCCCCGTCCTTTCTGGAGTTCAGGTCCGCAGCTAGACTGAAGGTGTACGTCCTGCAGGGGAAGGAAAGCACAGCTTGAGCAGAGGTAAGACTGTGCTGTTGCCGTAGAGACCCCACATCTGGTCACGTGTGCACTTGAGGATGTGTGGGACAGCCTCATAGGGTCCCAGGAGCACAGAACGAAGTAGTGTGTGCAAAGTGCTCAGGACCCAGGAAGTGCGGATGATGTGGCTGTTTTATTACAACGATCGCCGTCTCTGATGGATAATTTTATGTGTCAATGTTGTTGGGCCACACTGCTCAGGTATTGGGTCAAATGTTATTTTAGATGTCACTATGAAGGTATTTTTTTTAAGAATGAGATTAACATTTAAGTCACTAGACTGAGTAAAGCAGGTCACCTTCCAGAGGATGGGCTCCATGGTGCTGGCTCAATCTTTTTAAACTGCTGGAAGTCCTTATTAAAAACATCTAAAGTTTTTAAAATCAGAAAATGGTCCTTGAATGTCTCGACACACCACTGTGGGTGGGTCTCATCCAACCAGCTGAAGGCCTGAAGTGAAGACAAACTGGGGTCCCATGAGGAAGGGGGGTTCTGCCTCCAGCGCACCTTTGGACTTGAGCAGGAACTTCAGTGCTTTCCGGGGTCTCCCATCTGCCGGCCTGCCCTGCAAACTGTGGACTTGCCAGGCTGTCTTGAGCCCATTCCTTCACCTAGCTCTCTCCTCTCCCAGTCACTCTCTGTCTCTGTCTCTCTCTGGGGAACACTGTTGAATACACCATCCTCTTTGATCCACTTTCTAATACAGTCACAGGTGTGCAAATGGACGCAGCTGAGCTGCAGGAATGAACCAGCAGTGAACAGACACATCGATGCGCTCTGCTCACATCTGGAGGACAGAAGACGCATTCAGCAGAAGGCGTCGGGGTAATGAGGAAGCTGCTGCCTTCCAGCAATCCAGAAACATGTCATGGAGTGGACAGGCACTCAGGTGCTCAGGGACGACTGAGGGGAAAGACCCCAGCAACTTGCAGCAGTGAGAACTCCACGCTCTGGAATAGAAAGGGGGTGATGGTGATGGGGGCCCCCAAAATGAATGTGTTTGGGAGAAACAGGCAGGGTGGTCAGAGGAAGACAGAGACCCGAGGGCTACAGGAATCCTCCTTGGAACAGCACATGGTTGATTTCCCCAAGGGGGAATTCACTCCATAGAAGCAAAGATATTCGAAAACTCTGTTTAGAAATTACACACGGCCACAGTCCAGTGGCCACACAGGCGTGTCTCAGCAGGGGCTCTGTGTGATTTATTGGGGTTGAATCGGGCACAAAAAGCTTCTACTGACATTTCATTCTTTCTTTCAGTGAATCCTAACATTTTAAATTTCCAGTTCCATTGGGAAAATTCAGGAGACTTTGTTTCTAATGGTTATTAGAATGTGGAAAATACAACAAATTAAAAAGGTGAAAGAGCATCCATAATCCTCCAGCTGGGTCAGCCACAGACCCTAACCCTGTTCCCTCATCCATCCCCATTTGGGAATGTTGCCTTATGGCTTTTTGAATTTGAACCACTTTTTCAGGAAAAGCAAATTGTAGTCTAGTAGAAGGTGAGGGGAAGTGGTGCCTCATTTTAAAAAAATTCTCCTTTAATTTTTTGAAAGACAGGGTCTCGCTGTTGCCGAGGCTGGAGTGCAGTGACACAATCATGGATCACTGCAGCCTCGACCTTCCAGGCTCAAGCTATCCTCCCACCTCTGCCTCCCAAGTAATTGGTACAGGCATGGCACCACCTTGCCCTGCTAATTTACTTCTGTTTTTTATTTTGTAGAGACAAGGTCTCCCTATGTCTCCCAGGCTGGTCTCCAACTCCTGGGCTTAAGTGAACCTTCTTCCTAGCTCGGCCTCCCAAAGTGCTGGGACTACAGGCATGAGCCACTGCGACTGGCTGGGCCTCACTCTTTTGCACACGTTCTCTTACTATTGAATAGGAACTCCTCTCCCATTCATTTCTCTCCTGTTCATGTTCTTTGGCCATTTCTTCTCTCAGAGCCTTAGTGTTTTTCTTAGCAATTTTTGAATGAAGTTTTGGTAGAGGAAGAGTGACACTCACTGTGAAAAACAGGTCTGCTAAGTCTCACTTTAAGATCCCTTCCACTGCTTCTGAGCTTTCAGAGCTCTCCCCAGTCCAGAAATCAGAAATGCATTCATTAAACAGTTCTATTTTTAAAATGATTTTCTGTTTCTATTTAATACTGGACTCTGCCAGGAATTGATTTTGGTGTATGTGAGGGGATATGAAATACTGTCTATTTGTTTTATTTTATTTTTATTTTTATTTTTTTCTGAGACAGAGTCTCGCTCTGTCACCCAGGCTGGAGTGCACTGGTATGATCTTGGCTCACTGCAACCTCTGCCTCCTGGGTTCAAGTGATTCTCAAGCTTCAGCCTCCCGAGTAGCTGACTACAGGTGTGCGCCACTGTGTCTGGCTAATTTTTTGTGATTTTAGTAGAGACAGGGTTTCGCCATGTTGGCCAGGCTGGTCTCGAACTCCTTACCTCAGGTGATCCTCCCATCTTGGCCTCCCAATGGCTGGGATTACAGGCATGACCCACAACACCAGGCCAATACTGTCTGTTTCTTACCCATGTCTGTCCCTATCTCTGATGTGCCCCTCGTCAGATGTGACCCTCTCCAGGACGCTGGCCTTGTCCTCTGGTCTCTATCCTGTGCCTCTGATCCGTTTTTTAATCTGCCTCATGCCAGGACCATATTGTAGATTCACGACCTATTTTTAACATCTAGTCAGGTAAATATCTCATTATTTTTACTTTTCAAAGTTTTGTCTCGGCTCTCTTCTCCGGTTTATTCTTCCAGATAAACTTTTCATGCCTTTGGTAAAGTTCCAGCAAATGGTCCCATTGAGATTTTGCCTGGAATTTCATTAAACCTGGAAGTGACACTCTGCCACAGTTTACTGTTCTCAGTCACCCACAGGGAGTGTTTCTATTTATCCAGCCCATTTGCAAATGTTTGTGTTTCTCCCATAAAGGTCTCAAGTCCCCACATTCTCATAAAAGCAGAAGTGGCTCCCACGCCTCCACCGAGACCCGTCCAGAGCCAGGAAGGGCACCTTCCCTTCTGCATCTCAGCACCTGCGCCGCACTCCTCTGACTGTGCGCCTTGGACCACCCGCCACGTGCACGGCGTCTGGATTTAGTTCATGTGTTTCTTGACTTGTCTGCAAGTTGCACCTGCTTTTTCCACAGCCCCATTGCCTGCCCTGTCTCCACCTATCAACGAGGGCAGGTCCAGGCCAGTTTACTTTACATCTCTTGGTGTCAGATGCCAACAGATAGAAAATGCAAACTTGAATTGATCCTAAGTAGACCAAGAATATAGTCGTCACATTGGAACAATCAACAGTTTCTTCTTCAAGTTAACATGCTCAGAGCAGTGAGGCACAATTCATAGCCCCACGTTGGCAGAGGAAACATTGGTTGGTTTCCCCTTCCTGGGGGCAAGGCGGGGGCACCCACGCCCTGCCTGCGGCTTGCTCTGCAGACTGTAGGCAGAACTTTGCTATCAACTGATGACATCTGTGAGGTTTACAGAGAGAACTGAGTGCATTTTGCTGGTCTTTCAAATGAAATACGATCAAGATTACGCTGAGCACATGGGTGATGGGAGGAGAAAGGCAAGAATTTAGCATTTTCACATTTCTATTTTTCTCTTTGACTTGAGAGAGCCTCTTGGTGGTTAACTTACACCACGGAAACAGACGTGTTTGAATTCTCCCCGGTTCTTAAAAGGACACAGCTGCCGTCTGGGGCTGCCTGGACAACGTCCCTGTGTTTGTTTTCTGGGGAGGCCCTGACAAAGTCCCACAGCTGGACGGCTTCAACGACAGCCACAGATTCTCTCACAGTCCTGGAGGCTGCAGGTCTGAGGTCAAGCCACGGTTGGGGCTGGCTCCTCTTGAGGCCTCTCTCCTTGGCTTGTTGACAGTCACCTTTGCCTCGTGTCCTCACAGGGCCGTCCCTCTGTGTGTGTCTGTGTCCTAACCTCTTCTGCCAAGGACAAGGGTCATACTGGATCGGGGCACACCTTAATGGCCTCAGTTGAACTTAATCACCTCTTTAAAGACCCTGTCTCCAAATAAGGTCACGTTCTGAGGTCTTGGGAGTCAGGACCTCCGCATGTGGATGTTGGCGGGATGCAATTCAGCCCTAATTGTACCTTTCTTATGTCTGAGATACTTGCTGTAAACTTGCTCTGAGGTTTTCGAAGTAATCTGCTGCGTTTGTCTTCAGTGTGGGGAGCGTCCTTGTCTTGACTGGCGCATGGCACGCGTTCTCCTGAGCCCTCACTCTCAGGCCCCGCTGTTCCTTGTCCGACGGCGGGGCTCCCTCTGCTCTCCTATACAGAGGATTGGACCTGCTGCGGTTTGTGAATACAGTCCTCCAGCACCAGTCCCTCCAGGCCACCTCTGACCTTCTTCAAAGCAGTGGACACACATCACGGTGTGATTTGGTGGTAGGTAAGTCCGAAGAATCCCAGCACCATCGGCAAGGAGGCTGGAGTCATTAGAGTGGTGATGGATGATTGCTATGTTAATTGCCAAGTACTACACATGGTATCGGAGCTGCAGACTCTTACTTAGAAAGGTGCCCTCTTTGTGGGCAGGGGGATTCCTCCTGGTGCACCTACAGGTCTGTTTCCAGGCACTGTAATGGTGGCGGTTCTGCTGCTTGGGTCACGAAAGTGTGAGTCCTGACCCAGGCTGGTACTCCTACCAAACATCTGAACAGCTATCTGTAGGTATTTACCAATCATCTGAACAGCTATCCGTCAGCCCGTGGGTCAGTTGGCCTTTGGAGGTTGCTGTCCGACCACATTTTCCACTAACGAATACCTCAGTGATGTGTGGAGACGTTCAAGGACCATTTATTTTCTGATTTTAAAAGCTTTCTGTATTTAATAAGGACTTTAAGCAGTTTGAAAAGATTTAGCCGCCTCAGCGGAGTCCAGCAGCTCCCATCATCTGCCTCAC